CTCTCTCTCTCTGCCAACTTTTAGAGCATTAGATATTTAGATGATCATCAAGTTGCGAAACGATGAGCTCAGACCAAAGTTGCTTGCAGCTGAGATTGGTCTACTTATCGGCATATTTGGGTTGTGTGTGGTGATGATCATATTAATCAAAACGAGTTTATTCTCAGAAAAGATAGGATTCGCTGTGGGGAACGTGTATGTAAATGGAACAACATCCGTCGCCTACATCGATGAAGACTTCGTCTGTGCAACTTTGGATTGGTGGCCACCTCAAAAATGCGATTATGGAACTTGTAGTTGGGGAGACTCTTCTCTTCTCAATTTGGTTAGTAATTTATTTTGTTTCCTTTTTCACTTTTCATTGCTCTTTAGTTTATGGGTATTGTTTATATTATATTATATTATTAAATAAAATACTTTCATCATTGATTTTTTAAACATGTAATCCATTTACATGATGAAAGAAGATTATATATATATGACGTAAATTATTTGTCATCTTTCGTTAACTATTCATTGGATAGTACCAAGTGGGGAGATATTGAGATATTCCATTGAGTATTTATTGGGCAAGTAATAAACAAAAAATTCGAACTCAGAATTTAAATAACATTTTGACTAGGTTCTTATCAGTTAAATAACTATATATAGCAAGTAGTAACAAGTTAATTGTGAGTATTAAATACAAATTTAAGAATGATTTTTTTTCCATCTTTTTCGTTTCTAGAAAAGTATCTATTGGAGTTATCATGGACTACATTAACTAATAGACCAATTGTCCACAATTCTATGTCTGCCACCAAAAGAAAAAACTCAATGTAACCTTTTGTTTGACATTAGAGTTGACTTAGAAAATTCAAGTTGTTGTTTCTTTGATTTTTTCCAATACACAGCAACCTTCAAAAACAAAATCCAACATTCTAATTAATATCACATAGTGAGGGTAAATAATATATATATTTTTTATAATCATTATATTATATTAAAATATTAATTTATTTGATGCTAATTCTAATCGATCGAACCTTAACTAAACCAAATCTGATTTAATCAGTAACTATCATATAATTTTTTATTTATCTACGATTTTCTAATTTGAACATTCATATCATATAATTTGCTTAAATATGAAAAAAACAAATAATTTATATTAATATTAAATATAAATAATAAATATGTGATTGATGAATTAATTGTTTTCTTTTAGATATGTAAGAAGATGTTAAAAATATGATAATATTTTGGTTGCCATTAAATTGGCAGTATCTAACCGTCAATGATGACAAATACCAAAAATCTAAAGGTGTTAAGTAGTGGCGCACTTACATGGTCCACTCATTCCTAAATGTGTCGACTGTTATTTAAGTATTTAAGTATTCCTTTTATTAAATAAAAAAAGAAAGAAAGAAGAATTTAAATTCAGAAACATGAACATTGACTTTAACTTCTATTCTATTTTAATAATCCAAATGCCATTTAATAATTATCTGTGACAAATAATATTATAAATCTAAGGTTACAATCCTTTAATTTAATAAAGGAATAAAATCTAAAGTAAGAAAAAATTTGTTTTAGCGTATCACTTATAAACTTTTGTTAGGATAGTAATTTAAAATCTTGCATCCACCAACGGTTCAAAAACATGAGAACATAATCATTTATTTCACTTTTTTGTATTCGTGTTATTTGCGAAAGACTTTAATATTTTGTTCAAAATAATACAATCTTTAGATACAGTTTTTGTATATTGATTACAATCTTATTTGGTTTTTAAACTTCTTGACAGGATCTTAACAACAGAATCCTGTTTAATGCAATCAAAGGTGAGTACAAGAAAATGAACAGATTGAATATATATATATATATTTATAATGCAAAATTGATGTTCATGTACATGAAATGCCTTTTTAAGGCTAACCGAAAGGCCAACGTTGAACAAAGGCTTTAATTAAATTTTATGGATTTGTTTGTACATAAACTAACTTAAATTTTGAGCTTATTGCAATAAAGTTCTTCCTTTGCTTTAGTTTATGATCTTATCAATAAGATATCTCAAATCGTTTTTTAGAAAACTACTCAAGAAGATATTTCAAATTGTTTTTTAAAAAGTTATTTGAGATATCTTATAGATAAGCTCATAAAGTTTTTTTTTTTCCACAAATTTTTTCAAATATATCATTCCATAAGTTTTCCAAACACATTATTTTATGTCAGTATATTTCTTATCTAGTTTATCAGCTAGTTTTTACTAAACATTATTAATTTAATATTGGCTTATCAACTACTAATTAACTTTTCAGATGGTCCGTCGAACACAATCTATATCAGATAAATAACTTTCTCTTACAAGGGATAATTTGGTCTTTTGCAGCCTTTTCTCCTTTGAAACTTCGATTGGGAGGCACTCTTCAAAACAAGGTTTTGTATCAAACTCAAGGCAACCAAGAACCATGTTCCCAATTCACCATAAACACTAGTGAATTTCTTGGCTACACCCAAGGTTGCTTACCCATGTCAAGATGGGATGAACTCAACCATTTCTTTCAAAAATCAGGGTAACAACATTTTTTTTAATTAAACCATCATCACTTCATATTTTTATATTTTCCATTACCATATTGACATTTTTTGTAACAGGGTTTTGATTTTTTGTTTCTCTTAATTTTCAAAGAGCGAAGGTTATATTCGGGCTGAATGCATTAAGTCATAGAAATACAAACATGGATGGTTCAATCATAGGACCATGGAACTCGAGAAATGCAGAAGCCCTCATGAAATACACCATCGATAAAGGTTTCACCATTCATGGTTGGGAACTTGGTAAGAACAATCATATAGATAAAAGTTGTATCATTTATATATATTTCTTTTGTCTTCTAATGGAAACCTAGTTGTTGAGATGTTGTAAAGTATATGAATCTTTAGGGTTCAAAACCTGACGCATCCAAAAAGTCAACATAGACTATCCAAAGTCTATAATTTACTCTTACTTTTTAATAATTATGTACGAATAGGAAATGAATTATGCGGGTTTAATGCAATTGGAGCAAGTATCAAAGCGGATCAATACGCATCGGATACGATATCTCTCCAAAATTTAGTGCAAAAAATGTACATGAATTTTGCAGTTAAACCAATAGTTCTTGGACCAGGAGGATTCTTTGATGAAAATTGGTTCACAGAATATGTAGCGAAATCAAACAATTCACTTCAAGTTCTCACCCAACACATCTATAATCTTGGACCAGGTATTATTATACATGATCATAAATTACAATATACTTTAAGTTATATATTGATGAATATAATTAATACAATTATGTCTATCAGGAGTTGATACTCACTTGGTTAAGAAAATACTAAACCCGTGGTATCTAGATGGAGGATCACAATCACTTAAAGATGTTCAAAATATTTTGAAGGAATCGGGAAGTCAAACGGTTGCTTGGGTAGGTGAAGCAGGAGGTGCTTATAATAGTGGTCATAATCGAGTGTCAAATGCTTTCGTGTTTAGCTTTTGGTATTTGGATCAAATGGGAATGGCATCTTTATATGATACCAAAACTTATTGTAGACAAACATTAATAGGAGGAAATTATGGACTTCTTAATACTGCGACATTTGTGCCAAATCCTGATTACTATAGTGCACTGCTTTGGCATCGACTTATGGGGAGACGTGTTCTTTCGGCAAGTTTTAATGGCATAAAGAAGATACGCTCTTACGCTCATTGCGCTAAACATTCGGTAAGCATGTACTTTCATTTCGGAAAAATCCATAGAAGTAAGCAAAAACTTCTCTTTTGTAGTTTACCCTAAATTATATTGATATTTAAAATTGGTCAAATTCTATAAAAACTACAATAGTCTGATTATTCTTTTTATTTAACCATCAAATTTTTTTTATAGTTTAACAATTGAAAGTTTGGTTGTTTGTTGTTTCTTTTTTCAAAAAAAAAACAATCCACATTTTTTTTTTCTTTTAGCGAGTTGCAAATAACAAACAGAAAATTATTTTGTTTAGTTAATGATGCTTTTGTTAAAAAAAGTTCAAACTATTAATGGTTAGGTTGAAAATAAAAATTTCTTGAAGCGGTTAAATCAAACTATATTCAAACTCTCATGGTTTTTATAGAATTCAAAGTTTTAAAAAGTGTTTTTTTATTTTTTGGAAAATAAAAGAAAATTTTTAATGGTTAAAATAGAAAAAATTATTTCGATGGTTAAACCAAAAAAAACCAAACTACTGTGGTTTTTATTTATGAAAATTTCCCTTTAAAGTAAATCAAAGCAACATGGTAATATAAGAGTAGTGTTTAAGTGGATTCTTCTTTTTCACTTTATTATATTGTTATCTTTTTACTTTGACTTTGTATTACTAGTATCTAATTATTTATGTATCCATATAATATTTAGCGGGATGGGTTGACTTTGTTATTGATCAATCTTGACGGATCTATAAAAGCTAAAGTTGGCGTTTCAATTGAAAATGTGACAATTATAATGGCGTCAACACCAGATTTAAAACCAACACAAGAGACAAAATCCTCACGGAATCGCGAAGGAGAGTTGTTTAGAAGAGAGGAGTATCACCTAACAGCAAAAAATGGAAAATTAAACAGTAACACGGTACTTCTAAATGGAAAAGAATTATCTGTAAATTCAACAACGGGGATTATTCCATCTCTAGATCCTATACAAGTAAAGCTTGGAAGTCCGATCATGGTTGCTCCTTTCTCTATTGTATTTGTACATATACCTAACGTACACGTTCCAGCTTGCAGATAAGTTGGAACGTGTATGATTAATTAATTATATATTCATCTAATCTAGTTTCATACATGTGCATCAAAGCAAAGCTTGGTGGCTATTTCTTTTTTATTCAATGATCCTAATCCGTTAAGTACGTAATCTCAACAGTTATATATTATATATGATTGTATCTTTTTTACTTAAGCCAAAATAAAAATCGAACTTAATGTATTAAGACACTAACTATTTACCTATTTGCATTGCTTTTTCCTCTCATATCAGGCGTTTATTCGGTTTAGAAAAGATACATACTTTATTTATAACTTTGTAAAGTACAACTTTATCCAAAGAGACATCATAATAAGAAAACGAATGACTTTTTAGAGAGATGATGTATAACCTCATGAATCATGATTTCAATGCACTAAAACTATCAAGAAAGTTATAAAAGTTTTACCATATTAAAAAAGGAACAACTTTTTTTTTTTCTAAAAACATGTAGTCAAAACCTACATCCAAAAATGATTTGCTAAACCTTTTCTCTACATCTAACTATGTAACAAAAATCCTAAAAAGTTATAACCCTCCTTTTATCAAGCCAAAGAGCATACTTTATCTGGTTAAAAAAAAAACCACCAAAATACATTACTATAATACTATGCAAAAAAAATTATAAAAAATAAAAATAAAAATTAAACATGAGTTTACCTTGTCGAGAAGTGCCACAACACACACGGGTGTCATCTATGTATGTTGCTTGTATCCCCATCATCCATGAACCAACTGATGTATCTTCATGAGCATATGTCTTCAAAGATACACTAACAGAATAAAAATATATATATATATATATATATATATATATATATATATAAATATACATATTATTCTTTTTATGAATCGAATTAAAACATAAATGTGACTTTTTTAATTATACTAATAAGTAATAACTAACCTGTTAATGTTAATATACTGAGCAAAATTTCTTGATATGATATAAAGTGAGCCACCTGCATGCCGAAAATACCTGCCCAATAAACATTTTTATAAAAATATTATGTATGTATGCATACATGTATGTATGTACGTTGTAGATCTGTTATTTGACATGATTTTAAAAAAAGAAAGAGGAAATTACTTACGATTTTGCATCACCAAACTTCCACCAATCAGGTTCATACCATTGCTTTCCTCTGAATTGAGAAAAAAGAAAAAGATTTTTTATTATATTTTATTTTTTAAAATTGAAGTTAATTATATTAAAGTAAACAATAAAGGGTACTTACTCTTCAGAAACTACTTCACCGGATTTCATGCATCCAATGTAAAGACTATCTTGCCCCTGACGACTTTCTAGAAGCTCAATTAAACCCTCTGAAAACCCAAAAAAAAAAATGATTATATAAAATGTACATTTTAGAATGAAAATATTAAATATATATTGTATTTTTGTTACCAAGATCAAGGTTAATATTGTTATCAACTTTTACATAAAACTCAGCATCCCAATTTTGGACAGCTGTACTGAAGAAAAACTTGGCTTTTTTAGGTGATTCTTCCTCAGCCTCCTCATGAGCATCCTGAAAACTTATGTAATTAAATATTTTTTCATGAAATACTTGATTAGAATTAAAATAAAATTTTTATAAACTTACAAGAATCAAGAAATCTTTTGTTGTGCGATTTTCTTCATCAATGTTGCGATCCAAGCTATCACCACGATTAGGACTGAAATTTTAGAAAGTTCATTGTTAAGATATTAATTTTAATAACAAATATTAAATATTAAGTTTAACATTGTTAAAAAGTAAATAAAAGAAAATGAATATAAAAACAGGAGTGAATTGGAAAACCTTCTGCCAATGATAAAACGTATGACTATTCCTCTTTCTTCAAGCTTCTTTAAGGAATCACCTGTTAAATTCAAGTGGCTTTGTAAGTTAATTTTTCATATTATAATATAAAGATTGTATTTTTATAGGTATTAAGTTAAACATAGAGTAACATTAGAAAGAAATTTAGAATATTATTTTGTTATGAACTGACCTTCAGGCATCCATGATCCTCTGAAAGAATTTCTTCTTAATTTGTTACCAAATCCAGTGTAAATGCCAATCACAGCAAGAAACTTTTTGTTAGAAGATGATTTCAATTGGTTACTAAGAAAACCTTGACTTTTTGCTAGTGTTATTTCCATCTCAGTTTCCACAATTCTTCTCTCTAAATCCCTGAAAAAGACGATTGTACCCATAAGATAGTTTAACTTTAACTCATCAAATTAATTCTAGAACATAATGCAAAAGAGAAATAGGAAGACCCAAAATTTACTTGCATCCTAGGACCATTAGCTTGTCTTCAACAGTAAGAACCTTTGGTCTCTGCCATTATTGAAAAAACACAAAAACATAGTAAAAAAAAGGATATAAGGTATTTTGTTAATAATTTTTGTGAGTTAATGATGAATTATCAAGAGTCATAAGTTATAAAAACAAACCTGGGAAGAATTCTTAATGAGCAGATTAGCCAATAATGTTCTGTTCTCAGCATCTTGCCACAACCTGGTAAGATCAAGAATGAACATTTCTCATATCCATTGTCAATTACTAATTATTATGTAATTAGTAATCTTTGATTTAACAGATGGAAAATGAAAACACATCTACAACAACTATCCTGAAGTAATTTATATAAGTTCATACCAATCATTAAAGCCCTAAATTATGATTTCAGCTGACAAAAGCAAAATTACATACACATAGACAGAAAATAAGATGATCAGAGAAACTATCAGAAGTAAACAGAAGGAACTTGTCTACAAATCATAAAATTCTGTAGTTTCAGTTCATCTCAATCATCAAATCACAGATAGCATAAAAGTCCGTTGACCACAGTAGAATCCAATCAGCAAGCCCTAAATTCAAATTTCAGTGGACAAAGGTAAAATTGCATTCACAGTTATTAGTTATAGCACACCTTCAGGATAAAATACGATCATTATAAAATTCAGAAGCAAACAAAAGGAACATGTCAGCAAATCCTAGAGTTCTGTAGTTTCAGTTCATTGCAATCATCAAATCGCAGAAAACATGGAAGTCCAGTCATAAATGCACACACAGACACACTTGCACAAAAATCGTACTGATTTATCAAATCACAAAAACGTAAATTGATCAAACAAATACAATACTAAATAGAGCGGATACCTTCCGGCGATGTAAAGCCAAGCGAGACAAGAGAAGAAAGCCAATAGAATTGAAGGTCTAGAAGAACTTTTTGATGATGACGATGATGATCTCCAACGTTGCTTTTCTGCTTTAGATATCGTCGTTGGCAAGCCCTCCCTGTGGAACGGAGGGCCGCTATCCATAATTTCCTCCCAAATCCTTGGTTTATGTGAACAAATTCAAAATTTTCAATTGAATTACGAAAGAACGATGAGAAAAATAGTGGTATCGATGATTAATTACGAATTCGTTTGTTTAATCGATCGAAACACACACACACACACACAATCAAGTCTCTGTAGAGAGAATCTAAAGCTTGCTTCTAAGGGAAGAGACTGCTTAACAACCTGATGGTGAACAACAATGGAGATCTGTTTTGGGCTGTATTTGAAATTGCCCTTTTATATTTTCTTTTCGCTTACTTGTTGTGAAAACGAAACTATTAAATCATTTAATTATTATAATTTCAAAATCGTAAAGCAAATCTAAAAATTAAATTAAATTCTATTTTAATATTTTCTGAACATTATGAAAAGAATGTCCTCATCCCCTATTTTAATAATTTTTTAATATAAACCCAACAATTCTTTTAAATGATTTAAAACTTTGGTACAACAACAATAACTAAACCATTTATTTTTAATGATAAAATAAGGATTTTTTTGAATTTATTCTATCCATAAAGTGTCTTTTTCAAGCATAAGAGGAAAATACGTATGAAAAATAAACATATCAATTAGTAGGTACGAAAATATTGTTGTGGGGTGCAATTTGTGAGACACTATTTAATTTGTTAATGGATTTTGTTAATTTTTTTAATAAAATGCTTATTATGGAACTTGTAACGGAAATATAATGGAACTACCATATTAAATGCTTGGCAGTTTATTATTAAGTCATTCTTTAAATATTGTAATTTATATTTTAAAGTATGTGTAACATATTTTTTCAATTAGCTTAGATTAAAATGAAATATTTGTTTTTTTTTAACAAGCTCTTAATTTAAATTTATTAATTATCTATTATTAATCCTTACAAGTTACAACTTCCAAACTGTCCTCTATAATATTTGGTGAAGTGTCATTTGAACAAAGCAATATAATTTTTTTTTCTCCATATTTTACATAGTTACATTTTATATATTTGAAGAATCATTTTTTTTTAATCTAAAATTCTGATCTTTTGATTATGTAAAAAACACAAATAGATCTTTACGTATTATAAATATTAAACCCAAAATACAAATACGACCATAATTAAATTCAAAATATCAATACTTTTGCATTTTTCATTCTTCAAAATTAGTTGTGAAACACAGATTTTTTAACAAAGAAAAATCAAGAATTATGACAAATTCTATTCTTTTACTTAATTACATTTCAATTTTTAGACAGAGTTGCAGAATCAAAACTTTAAACCAAAAAAATAAATAAATAAAAAATCCATCTCATTATACATGTTGCTAAAAGTTGTGTCCTAGATTACAAAACACGATACTATAGCTTTCAACATGTAAGATACATGTTGACATGATATCTATATGGAATCAAGAAAACAAACACAACACGTAAATAACATGTTACATGTATCCTAACCAAACACTTTCTTTCTTTGGTAGATAACTATTTATAAAATCTTTTTTTCTTTTTAAAAAAAAAAAAAAAAAACATGAAAATGACATATAGTTCTTAAGATTAAACATATAAACAATCATCCAATATTCATGATTAAACATACAAAAACCACCTTACCCCTAAATAAAACAATCCTACATAAACGATAACAGTGTACTTCCGTATTTTTAGTGGGTCCCACAAATAAAATATCTATTCGAATAAATGATTTAATTGCTCCTTCCACTTCCAGGCATCAAATTTGCAATAGAAGGAACTCCTTGGTTTCTCATCTCTTCTTGAGCTTTTCTAATTTCTTCCGGATCTGCCCCCAATTAAAATTAAAACATCAATATCAAATATAATATTCCAATATAAGTAAAATGACGAAATTAGACATGGAATACACTTACCCATGTTCTCAACTAGTTTAGGCATCAAGAACACCACCACAACCATAAACCCAATCATCAAACCCATTGGACTTTTCACAATAGACATTACATTAAAAGGCTCCCTTACCTACACCATTTAAAAATAAATAAATAAATAAATAAAGTTGGTTGATATTTTTTTAGCAAGTTACGAAACTAACCTCGTAATAATTTTCCTCTCTCAGTGGCTCAAAAACCAGCTCATTCAGACCTCTTCTGGTCTCTGTGAGTGCTGCTTGAACCTTCCCTGGGTTTCTAGCACTCACATCTACACGCACCTGAACTCAAATCAGTAAAAAACATTAAGCCACAAGGGTAAAATGGTAATTTAAACAAAAAACATAAGAGAAAGGAGAGAAGACTAACCGGTGAAAATAAATAACCGATGGCATCGACTTCAATGAGGTGGGTTCCAGCTGGCACGTTATGGCTTTTGAGTGTATTATTAAGGAATTTATTTCAGTAGTCATAAATAAAAGATACATTTTAATGTTTTATTATAAATTTATAATTATAATAATTTTGTGAAATTAAATATTTTTAAAGGATACAATGAGAAGTAACCATCAGGCTTTAGAAAGGTAACATGTTGACCACCATTCAGTATGACTTTGGCATTGTTAGCCTTAACTGGTAGACCAAAGCCTTTTGCCATGAGACCTGTGGAATTAAATTTTACTAAAATTTATAAATAAAAGTTTATTTAATTGGAAACTGTATTTTATGAGGAATTTACATACCAGGGATTTTCACTCTGCCATTGATGGTATAACCACCTCCATTCCTGTAAATCAAGATAAGCAAACATTAATAAAGTTATATTTTAGAGCAAATTACAAGTTTGTTACATGAATCAACAGTATATGTTCTTCTACACACACATACACAGAGTATTGATGTGTAATTTCTACAATCATGGTGTAGATTTTTGAGCAAGAAGGAAGATAATGTTGGAGTAGCAAACCTTGAAGAACATGCAACTTTGGTTTAAAAGTATTAAGGGAGATAAATGCAAAAAAAAAAACAGGAAGATGACTGTGTGACAGGAACTTTACCAATAAAATTGACTGAGATTGGGAATTGAATTACATAGAATTTTAATTACAATAATTGAAAATTGACGTTGTAAAATATATTAACGCTCTATATTAAACAGATCGTTAAGCATATCAGAAGGATATGAGAATGCAACCAGTTTCCCATTCAGATTAGTTTATCGAATAGCTTTCTCCCGATTCAAGAGGATACAATATGGAAATTATACACAATCAGATCTTCAAATCAAATGAACATCAACAACAGTAACATTTAACAATATAATAATGGAACTGATATCTAATCCGACGACCTAATTAGAGATGTATCGACACAGACGAAGACATTCCATGATTTAATTGTTGCATAGAGAGTAACGATTAAAGCACTAGAGGTTATAGAGTGTCCTTAGATCATGTGTAAGAAAACAACAAGTTAGCGATTATTCAATTTAGGGCTCGTACAGAAAAAGTGTAAGAAAAGAAAAATCAACGTACCCAGTTGCGATTGCTACTGAAGAAGAACAGGAAAGACATAGAAAGCAGACTTGCAGGAGAAGTAATAGCAGTGAGAATGAATTCAGTTCGGATCTCCGTTGAACAGCCATGACGAAGAGAGAGCGGAGATTCCACGGTTTAGAAAGTGGAGTTCGGCTTTAGGCCTGTATTTGTACTTTGTAGTTTAAACTGGGGCTAACCAGTTGAAAAAAAAAAAAAAAAAGTAAATATGTTATGTTAATTATTTGGGATATTGTAGAGAAAAACATGTAACTTTTTATAGCTAATTTCAATTTTTTTTTTCAAGTTTATTTCATAATTATTATTTAATATTGCTGCCCTCAAAATAAATAGACGACCTAGACAATAAAAATCTCATAAATTATTTTATATAAAAAAAATGTACCTTATGTTTAACCGAACAAATGAAGTTTTATTTTGTTTACCTTTTAATACCTCTTAATAATAGCCTAATTTGAATATGTCCATTTAAAAGTGTTTGTTTACCTCTTATTTTTATATCTTAATCTGAAAATGACCTCTCATTTGGTCAGACTATTGAGCAAGTCTGTAAAGAAAAAATGGACACGCATTCCCTTTTTACCCCAAACCTACTCATCAAACACCCTGTATTATTTCTCTCTTCTCGTGACTACTAAATATTAATCCTCCCTCTTCTTGCCTCTTCCCTCATCGACATCTCTTACTGCTAGCCCTATCGGATTCGCACACTGTGAGCGCTAGCACGCCGACGTCGTATATTGCCGGAGCAGCACTCGTAGAGCACACCATCGTCTCCGCCTTCTGTTCTTGGTAATCATATTCAGAAAATTGGTGTTCTTTTTCACTTTTCTTCTTGAAATAGTCGTCCTCTAGCCCCCATCTACCCTAATCGAAATTGCAGGTCAAAAATAGAACAAGAACATGGATACTCTTCTTCTCATTCTTGCCCCTCTGTTGTGTTTTTAATCAAAGAGACGGATCAACAGGGATTTCTGTGATCGAGATGATGGATGGAATTAATGATGGCAATTTTTGTATATGGTGGGCTTAGTAGAGGCAATCAACCAAAATCCACACTTTCTTTGCTTCAATTTGATGGGGTGGATGAATAGGGTTGGGGAATAGAAGTTGTGTTATAACATCAAAGTGTTTTAATAGGTATTTGTGGTAGTTTACAGGTTCTGTTAATAGCATATTGATATCAATAATCTACAATCAAATTGGTAAATCCATGGTCGAAATCTTAAGGGGTCAACATTGGATTCCAAGATCATACTTTGGAGCTGAGTTTGATCTTTTTTCTTCTTCTTGATACTTATATTACTGTCAAGTCATGAATTTTTTAAACTTTTAAAAGTTACGTGATAGAATTAAATAACGAGATGAAACTGATAGGCATGGTTTGATTTGGATTTGTGTTTACTTTGGTATTGGTAATTTATGCATATCATTTGTCATCTTTTTTCTATGGTCAAAACAAGCTTAAATTGTACATTTTAGTCGATGTAAAATACATGCATATTTATGCTCGATTTGGATATGTGTTTACTTTTAAATTCAACAAAAAATTAAACAGGAGGGTATAATTGTCATTTTTACAATTCTGCACAACAATTCAAATGTTCCAACCAATCAGTATGTTAAAATTCAGACCCTCTTAGAAATTCAGACATCTTGAAAATTCAGATTTTAAAAATTCAGATCCTACCAAACAACCACTTAGTTATATACGAATTACATCCAACTTCAAAGTTCCAACCTATCTTCAAAGTCCAAACAAAGTAATCTTAATGGGCCACAGCTCGTTCAGTCCATGCCAAAAAAACAACTTCATTTCCATAGCATGTTTTAACAGGAACAAGACTTTTAAATCCACACCAAGAGTCCAAGCTCCACAAAATCAAAATTGATGTTAGTGATCGTCTTCCATGATGGACCCGAGATTCCAAGTTTAAGTGGAATGAATTTGTGATTTCGGTTCGAAAGATGGAAGGATTTCACAAGTTGGCCCAATGATTATAACGGGGTTTTTTGTACATCCACCGTCACTTTGCAACTATAGAACTACACAAAATATCACTTTCACCGAACCAGATTGAACTTATTTAAAATAAGACCGGACTGAAAAAGACCGATCCAAGACCAGCTTGAAAAAAAAAGCCCATTATGAGACTAGTCCCAAAAAAGACAAAACCTTTTCGAAACCAACACAAGATCGGTCTAAAAAAAGACCGGTAACAAAAGTTTACAGACATACCATTTTTTTCTTAATTACATAATTTTTAATGACAAATTATCACACTTTTTTTTTCCTTTTATTGAACTTAAACGTATCATTTTTAATAACTTTTAATCTACCATTTTAGTGTTAATCATATATTTGTTAACGTAAAACTTGAAACCGAAACCAAAAAACCATAAAATGCCGAAAGCGAACTGAAAAGGCGCACGAAAAGACCACAAAACCCGAACCAAAAAGATCGAGACCGGCCCCAAAAAAAAAAGAGACCGGACTGAAAAGAGACCGGTCAAGGACCGAACGGTTCCGAGACCAACCCCCTAAAAACCGGACCATTTCATGTAACATCCAGAATCCAGGTATTTCATTTTAAGCCCTTGATGTATTTAAAATATGGCTAATGAGGATCCACCGTACGATCAGCATACATGTATGTACGTTTAGCGTACACAAGTATGTGCATCGGGTAGCTGAGACTCGTATGCGAGGCGTACGAGGCGAAAGGCTAAAAACCCTAATTCTCGGACTTGAGCCCTATTTAAGCTCATTTATGACCTTGGGCCTTTTTCTTCACTAGCCTCCATTGCTTTCAAGCGTCCCCAAAACCCTAGTTACCTTTGAGAGTGATCCTTGAGCTTAAAGGTGCCTAAAGTAACCCTTTTAGGTGTGTTAGCAAGAAGAAGGAAGTGGTGAGCAAGTCTTGGACATGGGAATATGTAACATCCCAAAATTTTCAACAATTTTAAACTTTTCAAAATGACCTTTTTACTAATAAAAATGTTTACAAAATTAGTGTTCTCAAACATTATTTAAAAATTGGGGCCAATCCCACATGAGTCTTATCCTAAGCTCATATTTTCCTTAAATACAATTTAGATTATCTTAAACAACCATTAGGACAACTTGGTCAAGGCATAAGTCAAAAGTCAAAGTTAACGCTCCGAGTTGACTCAACTCACCGAGTTCCCCCATTAATCATCAAAATCACAAAAAGTCGGTCCAACTCGTCGAGTTCACCCCAAACTCGCTGAGTTTCCTCTTTAGACAGCAGAATCGGGAAAAAATATTCCAACTCGCCGAGTTCATCCATGAACTCACCGAGTTCTTCATTCAGCAAAACCATTTAACCCATTAAGTCACCAATCTTGAAACTAAATGCTCCACCACTCAGATCTCAATCTGAAATATCTCCTGGTAGGGTAAAGTTTCTAACTTTACCCTTAAGAACCATTCTAATGGGTCAAAAACCCAAACCCTTAGCTTAACCAAATCATCCAAACAAAGCTTATGGATGCAGATATGGACCTTAAAGGCTGAAAGGTCATGTAAAGTTTCCAACTTTACTTTCATGCAAGGCTAGAAGAAGCTCAAAAGCTCAAAATAGGCCAAAAGAAGGGCTTAATGGATGCATGGAGCCCTTAAGACCATAAAGTTGGCACATTTATGCCACAAGAGCTCCCAAGAACCATGGATCTGAAATAATAACTCCTTTGGGACGACCAACACCCCATCAACCACTCAAACTTAGCTAAACCATGGGAACCAACCTTAACAAAGAGATCAAAGCATATAATAAACAAGGTTGAGACTTTATATCAAAAAAATGCTGGAAATAGAGCAATGAATCAAGACCTGAAAGCTCCTCTTGAATCACCACCTTGCACTAAGCTCTCTTTCTTTCAATAAGCTTCAAACACACCCGAAATGCACTCATAATGGGATCACAACACTCAAGGAGGTTCTAGGGTTTCGAGATTAGAGTAAGGGGTAATGGAGGATGGAAATGAGTCTGTCACAACTAGCCTTTTTAACTAAGGAAATTTTGTCCTCAAGTAAGCAATGACTATTGTGAGACTTGTGCTAGCACACCTAAGTGTACAATATGAGTTCCTAGGGAGCCATGAAGTATTAGTATGCAAAATCTCTCAAAGAATAGTGAATCTCTCCCAAATATCTCCAAGTATGTGAAATCTATCCCAAATCTCTCCAAGTATGTGAAATCTCTCCCAAATCTCTCCAAGTATGTGAAATCTCTCCCAAATCTCTCAACGTATCTCAAATCTCTCTCTTGAATCTCCCTAAGTACCTTCCTTAGTCCAAAACAACTCAAAATCGGAAGAGGAAACCCCAAAAGGAACCCTCTTGCTCCTAAACATCTTGCTCCTGAACCTCTTAGCTCCAGATTTTGGACCATTCCAGACCTTATCTCCATTTTGAGGTATTTTGAGGTCGGGAATGTAGCACCCGGTTCCTGGTATGTAATTTATTTTTGTATTTTTCATTTTTGGCCTCGGACTCGGCGAGTTGAAGGCCCAACTCGTCGAGTAGGAGTGGGTTTGGACACAAGATTTAAGTAGCGGACTCGTCGAGTCGGCGACCAGACTTGACAAGTAGGCTCTGACTAGACAAAACCCTAATCTGAGGGTTTTCACCCAATTTAATCATCTCTTTTAGCCACCACTCGTCCCTATTGCTCCCAAAGACCCTTCATAGCAAACCCTAAGTGTTTTGGTGCAAGAACTAAGGCTTTTGAGTGATTTTTGTGGGTTTTGACCTTAAGGTAGAAGGAAGAGCATAGAAGGATCAAGAGGAGACTACGGGATTCGAGTTTGGTTCATCATTTGCAGTCTTTGAAAGGTATAAAGTATGTACCTTGCTTGCTTGCTTGTTAGATCCCTTTTTGGGGGAAGATTTAGGGTTTTTATGCCATATGAGGTGACCACCCATGGTTTGCAAACATGGTTGGGGGTCAAAACTTTGGATCTAGCACTTGGAAAGAGTCACAAGGCAGATTTGGGTTGCTTTTGCACCCAAGGAAGGTCCCATGCAGCAAAAGAGCTATTTTAGAGCCTTTTTGGCTCAAAAGTCCCATTCATGCACGTAAAGTTCGTAACTTTACGTGCTAGATCGAGCTTAGGGGCTTGGATATATCATTTGGACAAGTGTTGAACATCAGAAATCGAGGATTTAGGGTGTGGACGCTAT